AACATTCTGTCTCCTAACCCCCTCTCTCGCTTACCAGATCCTATCATTTCAAAATAAAAGCCTCAAACATTATCTGTAATCATGAAGCTCAGAATAAAACTGTTTCGTTGAAATACTTATTGCTCTTTCAAATACAACTACAACTCATACTAATATTACTACTACTAGTAGCAGTACTATTAAAGCTGATAGTACTACTACTTTTACAAACACTACTACTACTAGTATTTCTACTGCTATTAACACTTAAATAACTCCTAATAGTAGTACTAAAAATACTACTAATACTAGAGGTAGTGACACTGCAACTGATATTACTACTCATACTAGTATAACAAAAAGTAACATTTGTTCTTCTGCTATGAAAACTATAACTACTTCAAATATTACTACAAATACTATTAGGACTAATATTATTAGCTGATATTACTCTGAGATCTGTTGATGAAGAGTGTGTTATAAATAACATGTATTATTATTGTTATCATATTAATTTTGCTACTACTAACACTACAACTACTAGTATTTCTACAACTAATATTACTACAAACACATAGCCATTTAAAAAAATAATAATTTCATCATTTCTCATTTATGTATTTTTAGCTATTTTTAAAAGGAATTAAGCTTTTCTCATTTCTATAATTTCAGTAATTATTTGAAATTTATTTAGTCTTTTCTCATTTCTATATTTTCAGCATTATTTTTGAATTCTTTTATGCTTTTAACATTCCAGGGCATTTTCTAGTTGCAGATGAAATGTTGTCATATGAATTACAAATCCTACAGCCAAACAGAGGTCTGACGCATATAGATTCTACATGCTATAAACAGAGAAGGACTTTGATGCTGATTGTTGTTTGCTTCTGATTCTGCTTCAGTTCTGATTCCAAATAGATAAATACTAGTAGAACTTTAGCAATTTTCCAAATGTATGCCTTCATTTCATTTTATTTTTGAAACATATAACAAAACGTGCCCTGAAAGCGATGAGTGTTAAATTAAGAGTAAAAATTCCTCTGCATATACTCGAACATCAGCATGCGAACACAAATGCAAAGTAGAAATGTTCCTTATAGACCAGTTATAATATAACTCGACCTAAAATATAATTGCAGAAAAGATTGTTTATCGCACCCCTCAATATCCTCTTTGCTATACCAAAGTGTTCCTCTAACCTTTGAATTTCAAAATGGCCACCATTCACCCAATGAGAGCATTTTTTCTTTTTCAATTTTTCCACTCAATAAGCACAATGCTGCCTAAAAACACTCATTGTACAGCACAAGATTATTGTTGGCCACTCATAACGTAGTATGAAGTACATGCTAAAATGTTCTTGTCATTCCTCAAGCAATTGGTCTCATGCAGCAACATTCTCGTGACTCCAGATGCACCTCACGTTCTTAACCATCCAGCTCTGCTCATTTGTTTGCTGAATAATGATCAACCTTGATCATACATTGGAGGCATGTGGCCGATTGTTTATTATTAGCATAGGTAATGCTTGGTAAACATAATACAAGGGCAGGTTCTATCAGGTGAAATACTCTGTCACATGCCAAAGATATCTCCCACTAAAAAGGCCTGAAAAAAGAAGAAGAAGCCCCTTAAACAGTGGTGAAATCAAGGTTCTGTTGAATATTCTTTTTGAATATTCTGTTGAATATAATCAGTTCTGATGGCACAGAAAGATCCAACAGCATCAAAGAACAGTACGCAAACCATGCTATGCTATATCATGCATTGGTTTTATAGTCTTTATTAAGATATAGTATAGCAATTATTTAGTAATACAATCATTATAATAACCCTCAACATATAATAATAATCTTCATCCCGTGTGATGAAGGTGCCGGAGAGGCTGGTCTTGGCCCGCCTCAGGCAGGTGAAATCTTCACTTGACCCGCTGCAGTTTGCATACTAGCCTCGTGTGGGGGTGGATGATGCCATCATCTACCTGCTGCAACGAGCTCAGTCGCACCTGGATGGAAAGGGTGGCTCTGTGAGAATAACTTTCTTTGATTTCTCCAGTGCCTTCAACACAATCCAACCACTGCTACTGAGTGAGAAGCTGCGGGTGGTGGGGGTGGACTCGTCCACCGTCTCCTAGATCACTGACTACCTGACAGGCAGGCCACAGTTTGTCCGACTGGGCAGCGTGCTGTCTGATACGTTGGTCAGTGGTACTGGAGCTCCACAGGGAACTGTTCTGTCTCTTGATAGGTCATAGCGAGGATAAGACAACAACCAATAGTACAGCGTGAAAGACAAAATACAAAAATATATGTGGTGAAAGGAATAGACACACAAGACATAGCTGCAGAGTAGCACCTTAATGTTGCTCAATGAGTACAGTGCTGAGCAGCTTTTTAACTGATTAACTGAAAATTTGAAACTATTTTTAAGTGCTGATAGAGCTCCAGCTCCTCACCATGTCAGGCAGGGTGTTCCACTGATTTCAGGAATGATCAGGAATCAGGAAACATTTATTACCAAAATATGTCAAACATACAAGGAATTTGTCTTGGCGGTTGGTGCGTGACAGTAGACAGTGTAACAATAGACAACAAGACAGCAGTGCACAAGTAATAAAATAAAGTAAATGAAATGCTAATGCAATGGGTTAGTAGAATAAGGCTATGGGTTAGTATAAAACAAGGGAATAAAGTTAAAGTTAAGAATTTAAAATATTAAAGTAAAAAAATATTAAGCATTATAAGTGCACTAGCGAACAAGTGACAAAGTGACGAGTGACGACAAAGTGAAAAATTACATTTAAAGTGACATGTGCAGTATGAAGGGGAGTGACCGGTGGAATGTTATAGTCAGTCAGTGGGGGAACGGGCTCTGTTGATGAGCCTGACTGCCGACAGGAAGAAACTGTTCGTGTGTCGGGAGGTCTTAGTCCTGATGGACCTCAGCCTCCTGCCAGATGGAAGGGGCACAAACAGGTTTTGTCCGGGGTGGGAGGGGTCGGCTACGATCTTTTTAGCTCGCTTCAGAGACCTGGAAGCGAACAAGTCCTGCAGGGACGGCAGATTGCAGCCGATCACCCTCTCTGCAGAGCGGATGACACGCTGCAGCCTGCCCTTGTCCTTGGCTGTGGCTGCAGCGTACCAGACGGTGATGGAGGAGCAGAGTATGGACTCGATGATGGTCGTGTAGAAGTGGACCATCATCGTCTTTGGCAGGTTGAATTTCTTCAGCTGCCTCAGGAAGAACAACCTCTGCTGTATGGCGTTATATTTGTGCCACAATCCTGAGCACATAATTTTAAGTTTTGAGCACAGAGAACTATATTTTAGCAAAGAAAAACGTATTCCGTTTACTCAGGTGCCCTCTCCACAAACTCGTTTTCTGCGCGCAGGCAGCCGTTGCTGCGCTCTCTCCACCTCTTCACTCTGCGCTCGCTCGACTTTTCACTCACGCGCTCGCTCGACTTGCAGCAGCGTTACATTTGTGCCACAAAACCAACCAACCAACCAACCAGAGAATTAAAGGTCAATTGTGATTGGCTGTTGGTCTCCAATCACAACGCTTCCTAAAGAAGACGAAAAAAAGTGATATTAGAAGTCCGGCTAGCCACCATCAGACATGACCGAAGCAAATGATGAGAACAGCAAGTGTTTTAATCCAGGCCATTAGCGTTTAGCACAAATGCTGCAAACTTCAACAACTCTCTGAGCTTCCGTGATGCTGTAGGTAGTTCTACTAGCGTTGTGATTGGAGACCAACAGCCAATCACAATGGACCTTCTTTAATTCTCTGATTGGTTGGTTTTGTGGCACGAATGTAACGCTGCTGCAAGTCGAGCGAGCGCGTGAGTGAAACGTCGAGTGAGCGCGTGAGTGAAACGTCGAGCGAGCGCAGCAACGGCTGCCTGCACGCAGAAAACGAGTTTGTGGAGAGGGCACCTGAGTAAACTGCGCGCACGGAATGTTTTTCTTTGCTAAAATATAGTTCTCTGTGCTCAAAACTTACAATTACGCGCTCAGGATTGTGGCACAAATATAACGCCATACTGCTGAGCCTTCTTTATGATGGAGCTGATGTTCAGCTCCCACTTGAGGTCCTGGGTGATGATGGAGCCCAGGAAACTGAAGGAATCCACAATAGTGACGGGGGAGTCGCATAGGGTAATGGGTGAAGGTGGGGCTCTGTTCCTCCAGAAATCCACAACCATCTCCACTGTCTATAGAGCGTTGAGCTCCAGGTTGTTCTGGCTGCACTACGACACCAGGTGGTCAGACTCCCACCAGATGGTCAGAATCCCACCTGTAGGCGGACTCATCCCCACCAGAGATCAGTCCAATGAGGGTGGTGTCATCCGCAAACTTCAGGAGCTTGATGGACTGGTGACTGGAGGTGCAGCTGTTGGTGTACAGGGAGAAGAGCAGATTTGTGCCTTCTAGAGAAAAAGATGCAGTGCGGTGGAGGCGAATGGTGGAGTCGCGTATGGATGATATTCTGGAGGATCTAATAGAATTTACTGAGCGACTGTACGTATGGGCCAAACCTTTTATAATTGTATAGACCATGCACAAATTTGATCTTAAAGCTTAATAAGTTGTATTTCTCCAATAACCTGCAGTGAAATGAAAAACCAACAGCTTTCAATATTGTTGAAAAATGTTGTAACCATTGAAGTATCAGGCCCAGTGGATGGATATTCCCAAGAAAATGTGTAGCCCCAAACATACGTGGCCCAGTATGACCCTTGTCTCTTAAATGAAGCTACAAACCGTGTAAGCGTCATCAAACTGGCGCAACCAGCACGCTTCCTTTGTCCCGCCCTCATTTCTCTGTAACACAAGAGATATATTGAATTTAGGGAATTCCTAAGACTCTCTATGCGACAACACAATTGCAGAGATACCAGCACGCCTTATACTTTCATTTTACGATATGTTGTTGTATTTTAAAGCCCTATATTACACGTAAAGTGGTGCGTCTGGTGGCCTGCCAATCAAACCTCTATCATCAGGCTAGGTTGAGACTACATAGCCTTTCCACGTCAGTGTGTTTACCAAAACCAGATTGACAGCTCAGGAAGGTGTTCAATGTGTTCACTTATGGGGGATTTTATTGATTAGTGAACACATAATGACGTTTTGAAATATTACGTTAGCACGCAGTGGGATGTCCGACATTTTTTGTTTGTCCTTTTGTAGAGAATTTAACTTTGGTCATCTTCATTCACTGTTGGCCGGCTAGCTTCCCTCACTAGGTTAGCATTAGCTACAGCAGGACTCTATCGTTGGATTAGCTGCCACACACAGGTAATACATTTTTTCCTAGTAAAACATAAATGCCTACTTGCATGTATCAACAGTTCAATTAAAGGAACTAACGTCAAATGACTATTGTCTACGAGTGCAAAACACGGAAGACATCCGTAACCAGTTGACACGCTAGCTAAGCAGTTAGCTGTGAGGTTTCTGGGCAGGTAATAAAGAAACCCTAGCCCTAATGTATTGTCATTTCTTAAACCATTTTGTCCGCAGATAGATATCAATTACATACCATCAGTAGTCGTATGTCAGTGCATTCTGTTTTTGTTTGTACCAGAGCAGTCGTTCGACCTCTTAATGTGGTGAAGAGCTAACCTGTTAGCTTTGCCGTTGAGTAAGTTGGACACCACTCTTTTAGATAACGTTTGCTAATCTGATCAGCTAGCTAGCAAGCAAGCGTCCTCCTCGCTAAACTGAAAGCTAACGTTAAATGAACTGACTTATTGATTTTGTCGTCTGGTTGTATTGTGCTTCACTTGTATAACAATGATTGTTACAACTATTCAATTGAATTCCGACATTTTTGGAGCTTTGTTACCAGACTGTCTCTCGTTCAATCCCTCCTAAGCAGCTGGTTTCTATCATTACACGTTAGCTAAAGGAGGAACGACGTCTAGTCATTAATTTGTTCTTTACCAGCCTGACCGTAGATGTCTTTGTAGTTTTGGGAAACAGCCTTATTTACGTCTGTGTATACACAGACATGCAACATGGTTCATTGTGGCTCTACCATTCCACAGGAACCATGCAGAACCAGTTCATTGTACCCTACTACAGTGAAGCAGCAATGAGACTGGATGTCTACGCTAATTAAACAGCTGCGTTTGTTTTTTTACAAAAAAAGATTTGGTTGTTATAGAATAATATATTAAAGGTAAATTGACTGGCTGTTTCTTTAACAATGCAAAGCCCTCTAGGCTATTTTCCAATTTGTTATACTCAATATGCTGTTTTTAAGTCTACTGTCACTGCTGTATGCACTGTGCAACTGTATTATTTTGGAAACTATAATATCAAACAGGGGGTCAACATAAGTGATTAAGATTGGAAGTAGTGGTTTGAAAAAATTGAATCCATAGTACAGACTCATATATGTTCCAGTCTTATCATCTATAAGACTAATTCTGTTTCTCCTCGTCCTTGCCTCCATCTATCAAACCTACATCCTCTCATATGTTTGAATACAATGTTTACCATGAATTTAAAACTGGCCTCCGCCACCTATTCTCTATATCTCTAAATCTTCCTGTAAAGTAAGAGTATTATCTGGCATGGCTTTCATGACACATGGAAAAAGGTTAATCCAACCATTTTGAGGTGTGCTGCTTGTTAAATATGAACAGGAAGTAATTTTGGTTCTGTTTGGTTATCCTTATTGGTTTTAGGCATTGTCAATGTGCAAAATGGAAAAGCGCTGTTTGGTTATTAGATTATATATCTGTAGAATTGGGATTTTTGTAATTGATAATGGAAGTTATCAATATAATGAATATTCTTACAACAATCCAAAGGTAAACCGTTCAAATTGCAATTTGTATATGCCTTTCAGCATGAGAGAATATTGTCTCATTTTTGTTGAAGTATGGTTCTGCCAAAATCCAAAATCCAACTCTCCGCTGTTTTTCTCTTAGAAAAGCAGCATGGTGGACAAGAACATCTACATCGTCCAGGGAGAAATTGGCACCGTTGTTGGAGCTATCAAGAGAAACTCCAGATGGAATACCCACACTCCACTGGTAAGTTAAACACAACACTTGTATTTGTAAGATTATATTTAATTTTAGATATGAAAACTGACTGGTGGGTACGGTAAAACAGTTCTTGATGACTCTGATATGATGGAAGATATATTTTCAAAAGGAAGGTTTTCAGCAAGAATCACAGGGATGGACTTTATATAAAGGCCACAATATTTTCTGAATCATGTTGTTTACTGATGTCATCCAATGACAGATAAAAAACAAACAAAAGAAAGGCTGCTGTAGAATGGACGGCAAATATCAGAAATAGTTGTGATGTTATTTGTTGAAATGTGTTTTTTTGCCCTGGCCCATTGTGCTATGCATATACAAAACCAAAGAATTTCAGAAAAGATAGACAAACTGTGTGTCACATGTGAAGCAAGACAAGTTGGATAAACATGTAACTGATAAAAAAGAGATTTAAGAAGGGATTTTCCTGCATCGATGCTATGTGCATCAATAATAATTAGTGGATTTAAAATAATATCCCTTTAGCTTACATGCTTGAGGTTTGAGCTGAACCAGATTACTTAGTGCATAGCCACTGAACCCATATTATATTCATTTTTGGGGAAAAAAAATCTAATATTTGCTGATACCACATGATATCTACTAAGATGTAATTTTAATTAAAATCAAGTCAGGGCCCTGTGATGGATCTGATATAGTAATACATTCAATTTTAATGCACGATACAGTTCATACTCAACCTAATATGTCATTAGACTGAGTATTAAAGGGATGAGATAACTACTCTCAATGCCAATTGGTGTCTGATGTAATTCCACACTTACATTATGTTCTTATCATGTTTTTCTCATCTCAGGACGAAGAACAGGACCCATTACTGAACAGCTTTGGCCACCTCAAAGAAATCCTCAACAACATCAAAGGTATGTGGAGTTGATGTAGGTTGGGGAGAAGGTGATGCGATCCGTACTAGTTTGAAGAAGGCAAACCAATAAGTTTGACTGACAGCCTTCACACCAGCCGAGACTAGATCGATCCAGCAGCGTTAGTGTAAGTGTAGGTCAGCTTTGAAAGTCAAAACATACTTTAAATTGGATTCTGTCATTTTAATCAAAGATTACACAGTGGAAACTAACTGTCTTCCAACCTTCTCTAGTCTGGTGTCTAGTCTGTCTAGTCTGGTTCAGAAATAGGGGGTATTGTTACTATTGTATTAATACTTGTACTCGATACTGCTTGTCCAAAATTTCATCCGTTGTATCTGGACTCTGGACATGTAACCGATAGATCAATTAGAATGACATTTTATACGGCGTAGCTCTTCCAGCCTTTACGCCACTCGTTCAGCAATCCAGGAAACACCGACCAATTGCATGTGTTGTAAATCCTCATTTGATGCCACTCAGCCAATCAAATATTTAATATCATTTAAGCGTCGCAGCCTGAGAGAGATGTAAACAGCGGAGAGAGACCTAACGAGAGACACAAAAGTCAAATTTGTAGTTCTTTCACATTTCATTCTCTAAGAACAGAAAAGTGGTCAATGAGACCAGAAACTTTAGTTAAGAATGGAAAGTCTTTGTTTTTTTCCCAGGGCAGTTTAATACTAGTTAGTCTCATATGTTCAGAGACAATATGAGCAATCTGACAATCTCGGAGCACTAGGAAACCTACCCACTCAGATCTGAAATGAAGACACAGAAAAGTAGACATAATATGACCAGCATCCCAACAATGATGTTACCACAGAGGAATAGAGCTGAAACAAGTATTTTAATAACAACAGAGTCCCTTAACACAAATTTCTCTTTTTAGAAGATGCTGTATTTTTGGGGTGACATCACTGCTGAATGAACAGAATTTAAAGCTGCAGGACAAACATAAGGACAATTATGTATAAGAGTATTTCTAATTCATTCTTTTCAAATTTAAAACTTGAACTTTCCTTATCTGAGTGACAGTTGTTGACTACTTACAGATGTTAATACAACTTAAAATATATATGGGACTAAATCATACAGCAAGTTAGCAGTTATTATTCTGGACCTGTTTTAAAAAATTGATTCAAGAAAATAATCCACATTGCTTTGTTATTGTCTTTATTCCTCTTTCTTGGGCTGCAATACAAATTCCAAAATCTTTTAAATCCATTGTCAGCTAATCAGCTTATGAACCGTGTTACCTGCAGTGGACGAGGATGGACAATAATGATCTGCATGCAGGTATCCTCCCTTACTTTTGAGGGTTTGATTACATTTGAGACACAGGTTTTCTCCTCTCTGCCATGATGTCAGTCTTACGCTGCACTGAGCTGGAGACAAAAGCGAAAAGACAGACTGGATCAGACAAAGACATCTAACTCAAGTACCAATTGCAGTACTGGTAACTCTGAACTGCATTGGTACTGTAGGTTTTTACTTCTGAATATTCGGTTCCCGTTATCTGGAGGAGTTCTTATTCCGTAGTAATAGTGTAGCCTCCCACCCTGAGGGCCTCATGTACGTACATTTGCAAATGCAGCGCCATGGAAAACGTGCAGAAAGCGCTCGCTGTGATACTTAAAGTCAAAACAGCGAAAACAAAAATTCAGTGACAACCAAGTTGATCTCTGCATTAGTGGTGGGGAAATGTATGTATTGACTAGTGCGCTGTTGCAAAACGTTAAGTATCTGTGCTGTGATACGGCTGAGTACAGACTGCGATATTCCCACTACTGATGCTATGACTGTTTGAAATGATCCTGATGCCAATCATTGTAATGTATCAAGGAGTTTAACAACTGCAGGGATGTAATGTGAACACTGAGTGGGAGATGCAATGTCATCTTTGATTTCTTCCAGTAACTGTAATATTGCATGGCTGCTTCATATCTAACACATAATGATTTTGTACTTTTTCTACTGAAAAAGTGTGATCCTTGTGGCAAAAATCCTTTCAGCTCGTCTCCTTGGGCTATGTCGCCGTCTGTCTCGGATTACTGCTGTCATTACATTAGGAGGCATATATGAGGTAACCCGCATTCTGGTTTACAACTGCTTTCGAGGCATCTGAGAATTTTCACAGCAGAATTTTTACGCGCACAGAACGCGTTTTTACGAGAAACAAGTATGCCTGAAGTAGGCCCAAAAGCGCAAGAGTATAAGTGGGTTGAACAGAAATAAGCAGGAGTGCGGAGAAGGTTCCTTTTGGCAGGTTCCGATGGTCGGTGGCAGGTTCCTTTGTCAGAACGGCAGGTTTCATGATCTGTCGGCACCTTCCTATAATTTGATCGGAAGGTGCTTACAGTTCATCTGACCTGCTGTTCTGACAAAGGATCCTGCCACCGATCACTTTTGGCACTCTGCGTCACTCGAAATAAGGGTGAAAAAACAAGGTGTAATGCAGTGGTGGTGTCTGACAACACCCGTTGTGGTGAGAGACCCAAGCAGGACCATTCTGCATGTGTTCATGCCTTTGCAATGAGTCTTGGCACCTCCCACAGACCTGCAGTCCCAAATCTCCACTTGTAGAGGTTGTGAGCAATGGGAAAGATTCAACACATATGGAGCTGCACAGACTGAGCCCCCACCGCTGCTGCCTTTCTCCAGGGACTGCTGCTGCTGTGTGATGGACAGGCACTGCTGGCGGAGGAGGAACCCACCACACTGGTTAACCCTCTTCTTGACTTCTCCTCCCAAAACCCTTTCTGAGCCCTGATACAAACAAAGGCGCATGGTCCTCTGTTACTTTTACATAACCCTATTCCATTACACATTTGACCAGAGTGGAAGTCTAATATTAATCTCAATCCCTCCCTCCCCCCATGAAGTAAAGAATTCATGTCAAGAATGTTTGAAAGCCTTGTTGCATCCTTAAGCTCAAATCCCCTTTGCACCCAGTCTCTGAAATGTTACATCCATGGCCTGATGAAAGACACAATGGAGATCAAATATCCACAATAGAGCTCAATTCTGTGCCTGACAGACTGATCAATTTGTTTCGTTTTTGCAGCAGCATAACAACCGGATAGCTCTCATATACAGAAACACAGCAACATGGTTGGTAGGGAATGTTTCGGGTGGGCCGTGTTGTGCTGCTGCTTTGAGGCTTCACAGAGCTGTCTGCTTAATGAAAGCCCAGTAATTCCCTTTACTCTGGTATGTACCTCTGCTGCCTCTAACAACTAAAGCCAACCAGCAAACGGAATCTGAATTGGTCCCCACAAGGTTTCTCAGTCGATCTGGCTCTCTCCTGTTATTTCTTCTTTCCACATTTCTCCGTCGCTCTCTGCCTAGTTGAGGGTCTCACTGCGCTGGCGGTCCTGCGCTGCTGTAACTGCTGTGATTGACAGGGCCATGTGCCACAGAGCTGGAGAGTTGCGCAGCTGGAAGTATATCATCTGCAAGTTTGGTAAATGTAGCAGGGAGTCTTGTCAAGAAGAGAGATAAATTGTTCTGGGAACGGAAGTCTTCTCTCTTTTCCCTCTAAAATGTTAGGTTCTCCGCCCTCGACTGCTGAACAATGAGAGCACAGTTGAAGAAGTTGGGCCAACGATTGGCCATGTGTTGTGATGCTTCAGCTCCACCTTGTTCAGTCAGTCAGGGTGACCATTCCCAGGAAGCTTTAAATGGCCAGTTTGGATTGAGCCTAATTCTCTGGTTGTGTTTTGTTGCTCGGCTATACCTTGTTGAGTAAGATGACCATCTTTCAGTATGACTTCATACATATATGATTTCCTCTCCTTCTCACCTATTATTTTTTCAGTGGCACCTTTTTATCCAAAAGTCAGCCTCAGCTTTTTTAAAATCTTCCAATTCTTTTCTTCAACCCTCCTTTTCCATCAACCCCCACTGCTGCAGCAAAGGTCAGATTTTTGACAAGTCTGTAGAAGAAACTGTCTTCTCCTAAATCCCTTCATTTTTATTCATACAAATACAGGTTTAGATCCCCTTGCAGCCCCCCAGATACAAAGCCAGAGTGGCCTTTTGACTGACAGCTTTCTTCTTTTCATCCAAACACTAACGAAATTCACAAGCACACCTCTAATTGACTCGAATCACCAGCACAGCACCAGGGGTAGAGTAGATATCAGGGGGCAGGGCCGTGGATTTGAAGTGTGAATATAGTGGAGGAAGATTTGATTACTCTCCAGCTGACCTTTTCAATAATTACCCTCCTTTACCCAATGCAAAGCACAAAGCAGACCTAATTTGGCATGGAACAGGTTAATTATGACAAAAATATATTTTTAACCATTTATGAACGTATTCATTTATTTAATGGGTTGCTCAGTGGCACCAGTATAATAATACTTCTGTTGTTCCCTTTTGTTTTCACATAGCGTTATCCATCCATTTCAAACAACCTCCCTAATTCATCAGTTTACTGTCACGTCAGTCACCAGGAGAGAATGCACACATGCTGTCTATGTCAGTGTTATTTCAAGGTCAGGCGTGAGTATGTGTTGTCTTGGTCCCCAGCTGTGGTCAGGCAGGCGCTGTCGGGCCTCCGGGGGTTGTAGTCTGAGCACTTAGGTTCTGGTGGTGGTCTTTTACCTCGCTTACACCCTCTCACCCCTCCCTCTCTCTCCACTGCCACTTGATCTTCAGACATATATCACTCCCAATTGATGTGGCAGAAGGCAGCTGGCAAATGTTAAAGAAGAGGAATCATAATTCATGTCGCCCAGCCACTTATGCAAATATGTTGACTCATGGAGGGATTCTGAGCAGTGAGAATCCGCCTCATGGCAATTCCGTACATGTGTGCCGCGTGGCCCTGGTGTCCCGTAGCTGTAAGCTTGAGATCACAGCTTAAATACTTCCGTAGTCCCGCTGTCTGTGTTATTTTGATTGCATGGTCAAAGACAATAAATTGGGTGGGCTTAGTTGTTACTCAGATTAACGTCTTGCCAGATTGTCCAAGGCTCGACGTTTGCTCTGCA